CGGCACCTCTGAAGGGCGACGCCTCCCCCAGCGTTTCTCCCAGTGGAGCTTCGCCCTCTCGTCTCCCAGGAGAGCGCTGGCAGGTGCAAGCCCAAATACAGCCATTTTAAAGGAGGGAGAAAGGGGCAAGCTCTGGGCAACGGTCAGCGCGGCCGTGGACGTGACAAGCAGCCTGGCGGCGTGTTGGAATTTCTGCTTCGGTTCTCGCACTTCGCGGGAGGAATCAAAGTAACATGGAAGTACCTGTGCAGGCCTCAGCTCAAGCGGGGGGCAGGGAGGGTAAGCAAACCGCCTGTTAAGCGCGGCTGCCTGACACGGGGGCTCCCGAAGTAACAGCAAACTGGTGCAACGTGGGCACAACGTACCTGTCGGGATGAACGCGGCGTGCTGCTGCAACTGAGCGTTGGCGAGGGCCTGTTGGTAGTGCAAGACACTGGGATTGAAAACGGCGCTGGCACCATTGCTTTTTTCAAGTGCTTGTCTCTTTGGTAAAGGGTGAAGAACACCGGGAGGAAAGGCCTGTAAATAAGGAAGTTAGTTAAAATGGCATCATTTTTAAGACGTTGTCTGTAACGTACACATAAATACAAAAACTTATTATTTTTTTTAAAGCGGCTAAAGATGCCTCGCCATGCATATTAACTCAAAGCACAGCAATGTAAAATGAGTGAAATTTTGTTATTGATAGCAAAAGCGTGGTACTATTAACCTAAAACTGTAGCAGCACAACTATTGAAAAGAAAGGCCTTTAAAGCAACGAAAATGGCATTGCCTTTAAATAGGTTTTCAAATATTACAGGGAGAAAAAACCACTTGTGTTTCATTGCCAAGTATTTTCTTTTTTTTTGATTTAAATATCGATTCCTATTATTATACAGATTAATGGATTACGTTAAGCGTTTTCAATTACAGAAGCAGTTTTATCTCAATTCGACTTTTCATGAGAGGATATTTAAAAAAATGAAACCGTGTTAGGAACCAAACTAAATCGTCTGCGTTTATTACATATGAGAATGAGATGGATAAATAGAGTTTCTGGTAAATTAACGAGTAGGTGAAATCATTTCCGGTTGATGTTCGAAAGTAAAGCGATACAAATTTCATTAGTTGCTTCTCTGAAGAAAAAAAAAATAAAAAAGAAAAAAAAAAAGAAAAAAAAAAGCTACATGCAAAGCAAAAGGTGAAAGGTCAAAGTACCAGGTCTACAGTTGCTTCGAGAGGTCGCTTCATTGCTTTGGCAGTCGACTGAGTCTTTTAATAACAGGCAGCGAGCACATGATGGCAGTGGGCCAATGGGATTCAAGCGAATTAACATACAGGTAAACAGCAAGCAGAGGTGCATCATGGGAACGGCATTGCATTTGTGGATAGGTGAGAAGGAAAAAAATATTCTGAATGCAATATACAACATACAAAACACTAGGCATGCACAACAACAAAAATGTCTTCTAAAGAAATGAATATTACATTTCAAATTAGTACCGAAGCAAAAATGCATCTACTATACCTTAGTTAAAAGCATATAAGAGAGTAAAATATAGATGTTTGAAATTCAGGAAAGTTGAGTAAAAACAGCAGCTTGCAGACACTATTAAGCATCATATAAACACTTCACAGAGGTGCAGAAAGTTGTAAGGATACGCCTACAAGAATTCCTGATAAGTTAGTTAAGTCACATTTTAAAGCAGAAAAAAACAATTTGGAAGGCTACATTTTCAAATACAAAGCACCAGTGAAAGTTGTAATGCATTACAAATGCTATTAATACCAGTGCTTGCGAGGTGAGGGTCTTTTAATTAAGAGAAGTTCATCATTCGATAGATTCGGAGTTCAAAATGAGAGAGGTTCTCCTTTTCCAATACAAAGCAGAACAAACAATGTGTCTGGTTACACTAACTTATCATTAATTCCCTTTTTTTTTTCCCCCTACAGCTGGGTGATTTTTGTAAATTTTTTTTTTCCTTGTAACTTACCACATTACATTGAGAGGGAAAAAAGTCTTTCAGAATTTAAAACATATTTTCTAAATTCTGCTACAACCTTCAGTACTAGCTTCAGGAGCAGGGAATAAAAATACTGCTCTCAGTTCATAAGTTAACGTATGAGTTAGGACACCAGTCTAGCATTATTCATTTTTTAAAAAGAAAGTATTTAGGCATAGTACATAGGCATATACATTTATGTATACTTCCATAATAAGGTCAAACTTATGGCTGATATGATGGCATTCTGCAAAAAATCTTCTCATATAAAATATTACTTTCAAGCTTTATAGTGTAAATACTTCTTACAAACCTTTAGAAAGGAAAGGAGATTTACTTAGGAATCAGAATTCTTACTTTTGTTTTTTAAACACAGGCTGATATTTAGCTCTTTTTAGGATATACAGATTATGTCTATCGTGACATCAGTATGTGGAAATAGGGAACAAAAGTGGAAAAAAAAAAAGAAAGAGGACAAGGCACAAAATACCTACAAACAGCTTAAGGTCATAAGATTAGCTAGTGCCAACAGGGTATTTTGCAGGATAGCCCTCACTTTGCCTATTCCGTGTTCCTGGCTCTGTTGCATCTACGTTGCATGAGGCTTCCCAACGCCTTCCCCATCTCTCCTTCAGCGCATTTCTGGATTACAATGAGTTTTTTTTTACAATTACAATTATTCCCTGAGCTACAGGATCTGCTCATCTGTCTGGGTCCAAGACTCAGACGTAACAAGAGACACCTGGTGCAAAGTGAGGATCTGGAGAGCACCTTGTGCCTGAGCCGGGTGCTGTGCAGCCGACGTGTGGGACCCACCACGGGTACTCCTGCAGAGGCCACCACTCCGTCTGCACGGGGCACAGCCTCAGAGCCACTCTGCATCCACCACGGATGGAAGCCTACATGGAGGTGAAGTGTTACGACTGAATTCAACATTATGCAATGGTGAAGCCCACAAATTCAAATCACTGTCATTAAGAGTAAAGCGTTTCAGTTAATTACCTTTATTATGCAAATGTAGATCTTATCTGATCTCACTTGTTAAGTTCCTATCTCTGACTGCCTTTCTCGACTTCTCCACGCTCTTCTTAACCTCACCTCCCTATTTTGAAGCTTTTTGCTGGCTTTCCTCTCATCTTCCACAGTAAGTTCAGTCTCAGTTTTCCCAACCTGAAGGCTTTAGCTTGATCTGTTTCTAGGCCTACTCATCAACGTCGTTTCCATCTAATCTCCCTCTCTTTTCAGGCTTTCAGACTGACTGTCCATTATTCTCTTCCACCTTCATCTTTTCTTTCATTTTGTCCTGATAGTAAAACCTCCTTGTCCTCTCTGTTCCATCAGGTTACCTCCTGCTCAACATCTGATCTCCTACATAACTAACAGCCAAAAAAATCAATAGCTACAGACTGGAGAGGAAAAGGCTATGGAAAGAAAATAAAGATAATAATGATCAAAAGATAAAGATAAAAATTATCAAACATACTGAGGCATAGTATTTGTCTGCCGTATGTCACACTATAATGTCTCCTGGAATACGAGCAAGACCCACACAGCAGAGGCCAGCACGGGTGTGCAAGGAGCTCCTGACTAAACTCCAACGCAAGAAGGGAATCGAACAAGAGGTGGAAGTGGGGACAGATGGCCCAGGAGGAACAGGGACACAACCCGAGCATACAGGAATTGGTTATGAGGGCCAAAGACCACCTGGAGTTGAATCTGGCAAGGGATGTGAAGGACAGTAAGAAGGGCTTCTCCAAGTGTACCAGCAACAAAAGGAAGACTAGGGAAAATGTGGACCCGCTGGTGAACAGGGCAGGCTACCTGGTGACACAGGACACTGAGAAGGCTGAAGTACTGAACATCTTCTCCACCTCAGTCTTTACTGGTAAGACTGACCTTCAGGCCAGTGGGAGACCAGTGGGAAAGTCTGATGTGAACAAGATTTACCCTCAGAGGAGGAGGAGGATCAGGCTAAGGAACATTTAAACAAACTGGACGTACACAAACGCATAGGACATGGCAGGATGCATCGATGGGTGCTGAAGGAGCTAGCCAATGTCACTGCAAGGCCACACTTAATTATCTTTGAAAGGTCCCCGCAACTGGGTAAAGTTCCCACAGATTGCAAGAAAGTAAATGACATTCCTATCTTCAAAAAGGGCAGGAAGGAAGGTCTGAGGAATGACAGGCTGGTCAACCTTACCTCAGTCTCTGGGAAAGCAATCGAACAAATCCTCCTGAAAACCATCTCCAAACACATGAAAGCCAAGAAGGTGATGGGGAGTAGTCAGCATAGATTTATGAAGGGGAAATTGTGCTTAACCAACATGACAGCCTTCTACAAAGAGCCTGGCTTTGTGAGCGACGGGAGAGCAATAGATGTTGTTTCTCTTTACTTCAGAAAGGTTTTCAACACTGCCTCCCATTTCATACTCATAGACAAACTTATTTAGTATGGGCTAAATGGAAAACAGTGAGGTGGACTAAAAAATTGGCTCAACTGACTGGCTCAAAGGCTTGTGATCAGCAACACAAAGTTCAGCTGGAACTGTGGTGTAAAACTTGGAGGAGTGGTTGATGCACAAGATAGATGTGCTGCCACTCAGAGACACCTAGAAAGCCTGGAGAAACAGGCACGGAGGAACCTCACTAAGTTCAACAAAGAGAAATACAAAGCCCTGCACCTAGAGAGGAACAACCCCAGGCACCAGTACCTTCTGGGGGCCACCGAGGCTTGGCAGAAAAGGCCCTCAAGGTCCTGGTGGACACCAACTTGAACATGAGCCAGCAATGTGCCCTCACAGAAAAGGCATCATGCCAACAGCATCCTGGGCTGCATTAGGAAGAGCATCACCAGCAGGTCGAGGAAGGTGATTCCTCCCCTCTACTCAGCAGTGGTGAGGCCACATATGGAGCACTATGTCCAGGTCTGGGTGCCCCAGTACAAGAAAGACATGGACATACTAGAAAACAGTCCCATAAAGGGCCCCAAAGATGATTAAGGGACTGGAGCACCTCTCCTATGAGGAAAGGCTGAGAGAACTGGGACTGTTTAGCCTGGAGAAGAGAAGATGCAGGGAGATATCATCAGTGTATATTACTATAATATATATATTACTCCCTTGGTAGTAAAGATGGAGCCAGGCTCTTCTCAGCAGTGCCCAGTGACAGGACAAGACGCAATGGGAACAAATGTAAATACAAGAAATTCCATTTAAATGTAAGAATTCTTTTTTTAATTACTGTAAGCATGATTTAACCACGGAGTAGTTTGTCAAGGGAAGTTGTGGAGTGTCCATCCTTGGAGATTTTCAGAAGCCAATTAGGCATGTCCTGGGCTATCTGCTCTAGCTCGACCTGCTTGTGCAGGGGCACTGGGCTTGGTGACCTCCAAAGGTCCCTTCCAACATCAACTACAAATTCACATTTTAACTTAGGCTGTACATTCTTCAGTGACTTCTTATGTTCTCTGATGCACCATATGACTATTTGGAGCTCCTTGAGTACAATGACAGCTGACGCTGTCTTCCAATGCACTTCACATTTAGGCTGTACACAGTCTATAGCCTCTTTCACAGTGTCTTTCCCCTTTCTTTTTACTTCAAATGATGAGGACAGCTAAGGCACCTGAGTAAAAATTCCTGAACTTCAGTGTACAGAAATACAGACAGGGCATTTTCTGCATGGTCCCAGACTGCAAAATTCATTGACCTTCAATGCTCTAACCCTATCCACAACACTCACCCCTCTGAGCACATGGAGCTCTGGAACAGGGCAATGCAGCCAGCTCCCCCAGGAAGGAAAACCTTTCTGACACAATTTCGACCTGGGAGCAACCTGCAAATGAACCCTACAGGTCAGCTTTTGTATTTCTGCCTCACTTTCGCTCTCTAGATCCAACTGAGTATTCTTGGTCGCTCCTGGGTGGCCTTGCAGGCATATATCTTTTCTACCACATTTTTGTTGTTATTGCCATTCCAGTGATTTTTGATTCACTCTGTTTCAAATCTATATTAAACAAAAAATAGTTAGATTGTGAAGAACCTTTTCTGTCTGGTAGTCTAAATATGCCATTAAAATAATTTGTACATATTTTCTTGCAAAAAAATTACTTCGAATTACAGGTCCCTGCCGCCTTCTCCTGTGACATTAGAATGCTAACATTTCAATTCTGTGTTTCCAAAGATGCTTCATCTTGCTTTAAGGCTAATGCAACTTCAATTATGGCTTATTCGAAATCATAGGATATATATCCAACCATTACTAAAGTGCAAAAAAAAATTAATCCCCTCATCTCACCTCTTTCTTCTTTAGTATACTGCATAGAAATATTACATTCTCTAAATGGACAATAAATATTGCACAGTAGAAGCTAATTAGAATTAAAAAAAATCTCCTTTGCTTTAATTTCCAGATGGTATTCAATTTCTGCAAGCACAGGAATGTTTAACTAAAAATCATCCAACTTGAAACAGAGACTGGGGATACTATAAGAGAAAGAATATTGAAACTTAAGCAATGTTCTTCTGTTTGTAGGTTTACTTTCTTGTATAACTTATCCTTTGTCCCTCAAAAAGTCTGGTCTTTGCTAATTTGCTAAATACAATAGCTTCGGGTAGTTATATACTGTACTGTATTGTGTTTCTGGTAGGCTTTTTACCCAGAGAATAACTGTATTGTCTGTAACTATTGTATGCACTGCCCACAAGTCCACAAACCACATCTGCTTAATTATTCGTCCACTGCCAGCAATGAGGACAATGATTCTTTGATTTGCTGCCAGCAATTTCGTCTCCCAAGTCAGATCCTGCATGCTTGATTTATCTAACTTTATCAATACCACTCTATATAAATTTATCAACTTTCCTGGTAGCAACCATTAGGGAGATCCAATACTGGTAAATGGATGGGCTGACTTGTCTGAACAGTTTTAAGTAAGAGCTTAAAATATCTGAAAATAGAAAGCCCTCAATCTCTTCTGACTATAGTTACTATGCTTTTTTTAGTGATTCCCATTTTAGTTTACTACTTTTAATCCCTATGATTCAAGTAACTTGCCCATGACAGTGGGAGAGGCAAGAAAAATCTCTAGGCGTGAGATTCATCTAATCAAAGTTCGAAAAGATATAGTCAACACTTTTCAGTCAGCGAGGACAGATGTTTGTCTACGGAGGGCAGTTTTTTCTCATGCTCAGACAGGCACTAATGGTAGATCAGATGAATGTGCTGGTTTTTCCCCACTACCTATAAAGTGAGACCAAAGTGGTTAGGCTGGGCTCAGATATCTAACTGTCTGACATCTACGGTGGCGTGAGTTGAATTTTAATACAGGTTTCTTTTCTACTACCCATCTCTGATGCAAAAGCTCTCTCTTTGCTGTTCTTCCTTTTCTTCCAAATTTCCACATGTATATCTGTCATCAAAGAGCTAAAGCAGCATATGTGTCCCTATTTTTCCAGAGGACATTGAAGCTTATCGGTTTTGTTTCTGTTTGGAAATACTACGGGCAAATTTAACATATAATCAAGGCAGAGAACAGAAGTGGTATAGAGTGTCATTTGCTTCACTGTCTTGGATAGAAATACAGCATCAAAATACGGGCATAAAGAAAAAAAGTGCTTCCTCCCATCAAGCAATAGTAATAATTTTATAAATTCTTATTTTTTACCAAAAAAAGAAAAAAAAGGAAAAAAAGAGGCAAAAGAGAAAAGAAAGTACAAGCGAACAGCATTAAATTGAAGCAAAATAGGCATCAAAGAGCTTCTGTCAAAAAAAGGCAGCCATATATGCCAGCACTTACCATCACAGTCGCAGCTGCCGCAGCTGCCTGGGCTGCCACCGCAGCCTGGTTGGCTTGGTGTTGCGCCGCTTTGATTTTGGCCTGCAAATGTGCAGGAGGGTGAAAATACTTGCATTTCTCCCTCATGCAACGACCTTTTATGTAATCCATACACACGGTTACGGTGTTGTCGTTTGTGTCAATCATTGTGCTGTCTGCCGGATGCGCGAAGCGGCAATCAGTCTCTCCACGCGCACAGTTTCCCCGCTGGAACTCCCTGCACACCTACGTGCAAAACAACACGCGTTGCAGGGGAAGAGCCGGGCGCGACACGGAAAGGCAGGGAGAGCCCCGCGCCCCCGAAAGACAGACCTGCCCCCTCTCCCGGTTAGTTCAAGTTTTTCAGTGAATTCAATTTAATAAACCCTTCATCTTCTTCTGGGAGAGGGAAATGCATCTATTTTACTCTTACGTGCTTGGCTCCTCGGGTAGCTCTGCGGTACGGCGGCTAAATGAACTTGACATGCAACGGAAGCATTCCCAAATGCCTTTCCTTTCTCCTGTCTAGAAAACACCTGGGAAAGATACTTACTGAAGTGACTTGCCCCTGCATAACTGGAAATCACAAAATACTCAGTCCCTTTCTGCCTATACTTTATATTCTTGCAGCTCCACTGGTAGGGAAGGATCTCCTCTTGCTGAGACCCGGGCAAGACACGCATCAGTGCGTTCACGGAGTCCACAAACAGAATGGAGAGCCTCCTTAAAAACAATTTCTGAAAATGGGCAGAATGATCATGCTGATTCTCCTAGGAAGAAATGTGCTCTAGACGCTACTGCTTAGGCTTTTGGGAAAGGATGTTGATTTCTGCGAGAGCCATTTGGCCTTCTTGCGTGCTTGGGTCACAGATTCCCCTGAGCCCAGCCATGCGGAGATCGCTCAGCACCAGGGAGGCTCTGCAGATAGCTGGGGGCTTGCCCCTTCAGCCTGCCCCAGGGCTGGTAACGTGCGACATCTCCATTTGTAGCTCAAGGCCGAAGGGCTATAAAATTCCCCTAACATTGACCCGTAAGGCTATAAAATTGCCCTAATATCAATGCATAAAAGCTGGGACAGAATTAATGCTGCAATAAAAATGTGCTTGTTAGGTATTTCATCAAAGCATACCTTTACAGGCATGTATACTTGAGGTATATTGGAGGAGATGAACTTTAAGAATGTATTATGTATTACATACTTTAAGAATGTATTACGTATTAAATTTGAGCGAACGCGCTACTTTAAAAATAACAGCGTTTAATGACCACTGGCTGCAAGTGTAGAAAACCTGCCTAGTTACGTGGTCGTTATTTGTAGCAACTAAACTTAAGCATTGCTTCTAAAACAATAGAGTTCTTCCCTCCAGGTTCTTTCACACAGCCTAACAGAGGATTGTATTTCTAGTCATGGCGGTGTCTACAGTACCTCCAATTTATCAGTCCTGAGGAGTTTCTGAGTAGCGGTTGAACCGGGGACTGAAACCGGTGGACTTCCAGGAACAATGACAGGCGGCGTGGGCAGGATCTCAGTCGGGACTAAGCCAACTCCCGGGGTTACTGGCGTTAGGTAAGGAGCAAAGCTAATAGCCGTGTTCGTTCCTATTGTGGGACCCACTGGAAATGTGGGCTGCAAAACGAAAACACAGACCAAGATGAAAAAAACCCAACCCCTTAATCAAGCTGTTAGTTGTCTTTTGCATCTTCTTTCTGGTGCCGATTCATTTTCTTAATCAAAAAATGTCAAACAGCTGGCAAAACACACAACATATTCTCTTCTTTTAATCACTAACACATTCCAGTGGCATACTAAGAACCGCACTTTACAGCTCTATTATTGGAAAAGAGGCTGCTGATGCAAAGGGAGTCGTACTTTGAACCTGAATCTCTATGGAGGTCCAGCTTACATTGCAGCCTTATTTACACATCTGAAAGTAGAAATAACAGAGACTTTATTGCTTTTTCTCAATACCTGTTTTCCTTGGGAAAACAGGCTATTTTTCAAAGTACCAGATTTCATGGGTGAAGCATTATTAACTATATTAAAGCCATATTTCTAATAAGAGCATATATAATGAGCATGACATGTAACTTCCATCTGTTTGCATGCTGTATTTTGCCACCTCCTGCAATTATTTATTACTATGGCTCACGCATCGAAAAACCTCACCTTTGCGAATGTTTGTGTGCTCAGGTGTCAGCCGTGGCAAGCAGAATAAATATTATAATCTCAGCCGGACATAATATTTAGAAAGGGATTATTCAGGCTTAGCTAGAGTTCATCTTACAAAAAAAAAATTGATTGGAAGGAATGATATGGGTCTAAAAATCTGTTTCATGCCTTCCTACAGCGTGTCAGTGAAATCACGACCAGAAGAAAGAGTGCTTGTGTGATGCTAAAATGCAGCTCTATCAAGGCAGAATGGTGGGTTTGTTACCACCACCTCCATGTGGGGTGGAGGCAGAACATCACCGTGGTCAGACCATGATCAGATCTGGAAACTGCTTTAGTTCTGGAGACCTGACATTTACTCCAGAGAGTGAAACGATGGAAAATTATGCAGAAAACCAAGACACATCTCAGCTTTGTCAGAAATTAAGTTCCCAAATAAGATGGCAGCTAGGAATGAACCACTCAACAGCAGAACAGCAGGGAAAGACTTGAAAACACTTAACGAAGGAAGAGTGTCTTTCTCATCAGGGTGGTCTGCATGGCCTCTGCTGGAGATGGGAAGCCAGCCACGCACAGTATATAGAAAATACGCAAGAGAAAGCATAGAAGCTATAAGGCTTATTTCTGGATTTTGTGTTGGTGGTTTTTTTTCTTTTTTTGGCTTTAGAACCAATTACTAAATTATAAATCAATGTCAGTTGGTACCAAGAAAATGCTTTGAGCAGCAGATTAGCTGGGACACCCAACTGTATGGAAATGGCATTTACCTGATCAAGTGAATAATGTTCTGGTTTTATCAGAGATCAACTGGTTGATATCAAACAGCACAGTTTATATGTCAAGTGTGAGCTAAATTCTTTAGAGCATAGTAAAGAACATGTACACAAAACAACAGTTCAACTACGTTGGGGACAATACGTGTTACATAAAATATAAAGGACAGCTTTATATCAGATATAATTTTAAGAATGTCCACGCGTCAAATGACTTCTATGGAATTTTCTTTCACTTTTTATCCATTTGGTCAAGGCTGAGTCATCTTAATCTGGCAATTTATGTGAGACAGAGAAACAAAACCCAGCTCTATTATCACAGCAATCAGTACAGAAGGCATTCTGTCAACAAAATTGTAAAGTTCGAATGATTAAATGGATAAGCAGAAAAAAGTGTAATGTTGTGACTTCAATTTTTCTCATAATACTAAGAGGTGGAATCTATTACTTCATGGAAACTTTTTCTGGTGAAAAATCAAGCAGTAAAAAGCCAGGAAATATCAAAACACGTTGTGCCAATATACCAAGATACATTTTGACAAACATGTACCAGAAATTCAGGGAGTCCTAGCACCAAATTTTCGTTCATGCCTTCCACCTTACAGCAGATGTTTCAAGCATAAAAACACTTTTGAAAAGGGTGAGCTTCCTGCGACCAAATACAGCTGTCTTCCTCTGAGATGCTGACATTTGGCTCCTGTGATAGCCCGTGGAAAGGCAAATGCACTTATAAAACCAAATCATCTAATCTGAATGCAGATGTCTGAAACCAGCCAAGCAAATAGTAATTAGAAGTGCCTATTTCTTTTGATAAACCATAAATGGACCTAGGAAGCCCAGGGCAGAAGTTGATGCCAACACTCCAGATGCCCCAAGTTAGAGAAGGAAATCCCACTCCAGTGCCTTACACCAGGCATTCAGACTGAGAAAACATCGTCAGCAGCCACGTGTGAAAAGTTTAATTCAGATTATTTGCCTAACCGTGCTTTCGAAGTCTGGTACAAGGAGAAGCTCAACTGCAAAGGCAGCCCAGAGCAATTGATCATTTTCCTGTATATCCAAAGACACTGCTCGTGCCTGCAAGTCTTATGTCACCTTCTGGATTTGAATTGTCCCAGGCACCATATGTATTACCTTAAGACAAAATGCTGAATTTGTAAAGTGCATGCACCAGCAATTCTCTGTCTTATTTTGGGACACTTTAGATTTCAAGAGAGTAAGAAAATGCTGCCCAGAATGACATTAACCTTTGTTCCTGTTACTGGGATTAAAAACTATTTAAAGCCATTCAAACCCATAGACTCCTGAGAAACTTTGCATTCCTACTCAAATAGCTTACTATCAAATTATTATTATTATACAAATTTTCAGCTCCAGAAGGATTATAGGAAAAAACCTTGCAAATCTAGACTAAACCTGACATGAACTGATTGAAGGATTAAAAAAAAAAAAAAAAAAGAGGGAAAAAAATAGCAAATTAGTCTGCGATAAAAAAAATGTATCAAAACTACAGCAAGACCCCACTGTATCTTCAAATACAAATATAAATTAACATATCTCTAGCATCTTGGCAATTCCTTAAGTCAACAAATGTGGACTGTTTTTACTGATACTAGTTTAGAGAAATTTTGCAGGTCAATATAGCCTTCTACTTCAACTTTACTTACCAATAACACCATCAGAGAAATATACTTACCACTGGCTGTAGCGGTGTCCCTGGAAACATGAACTGCATTTGCTGGGCAAGCATTGCTGCTGCAGTTTTTTGTTGGATTAAGTTGTTCCTGCCATTGATTTCCAGTTGAGTTTTTAAATGTGTTGGTGGATGAAGGTACTTGCAGTTCTCCCTTGTACAACGACCCTGGAAAAAGAAGTCACACTAATTGGTCTGCTGCTTTTGATGATAGTTTAATGCCTTTGAGCAAAATATTACACCATGAAGTAAGCAAGAGCTAATGAAATACAGGGTGTTTCCTGGGGACTATGTAGCAAGCTGGGAGAAGCTGATGGCCGTGAGCTCTGCCTCAGCCCACTACCTGTGACTGATCATTAAGGCTATTAGCCACACACAAAAAAAAAGAGAAAGACTTTGAAACAGCATTTTCATTGTTAAGTACAGATAACTGCTATACAATCAACACTCTGAATATTATCCTGAACTGCCTCTCACAGTATCTTGGCTAGATTATACGGTGTTACCATAACATAAATGTTTTTTATAAATTACATTATGAATAACAAATTTAAACCTTCTGTAGGAGAAATGCAGCTTTTAAGCACATTATATTAAAATATATGTCGCAGTAAGGATCTAAAGCGGCCAGTTTCCGCTTGTGTTCTCTTGTACGTTCACCCTTATCACAGTTCAATGCCTTCTAGCCTCCTGTTTTTACTACATTAGCACAACTTTGAAGTATTTCTATTGAGGTATAAAAGAACAGAAGTGAAGCTGGTACTTTCGCAGCCTAAACTTAGAAGCAGTGCACACAACTAGATCTGAAGGTACACAGCAAAGCAAGAGCCCCTGATCAACCTGAAAACAGGAGTTTTTAGGCAGTTACTAGACAATAAGAGACAATTAAAGTATGGGTGGGCAGTCACCACCAGGGTGGCCTGGTTGGAGGAGACGGACACAGAGCACACCTCTACAAGCCACGCGTGCTGACAAAAACATAGGTAGAGCAGCATAATATGTGCTGATATGTTTTCCCCCAGGAAGGGAAATCGCAGGGTGCACCAGCAGGTTGTGCAGCTGCAGAGCAGGATCTGCAGAGATCAGAAGCTCCTCGATGACACGGCTCACACACTGTCACAAAATTTTAAGAGCTGTGACCAGAGGACCTAGAGCATTAGTCAAACTGCATTTGACACACTCAACTTGTAGGAGGTTAAGTTTCCCATTTGAGACGTTTTTAAAATGTGTTTTTTAAACTTTCTATTCACTGGTATAAGGGCTTTACAATTCGCAGCCAAGCAGGAATATCCTCCTATAGCCAAGAAAACATTAAGATCCCTGTGCAAGAAAGTCACACGGTACACACGTACGCTGACTCTGCGCATGCATACGCACGCACACACACTGCTGCAAAACCTTCAATACGCTTCAAATGCCCCAGCATTAATTTTATACTTGTTACTCAGACACTGAAACACTGCTGATTCTGTCTCTAATCTGCTGTTAAGATGTAGTAACTACCTACAGAGGAGTAAGTTAAATGTGCCCAGGAAGGTTCTCCTGCACTGAGGCCACGGGAATGCAAACAGCTATTGCCACGCTATTAACATCAGCCCTTACCTGAGCTGTGCCTGGCCACTGTTTAGGAGTGTGCTAAATGGCAGAGGCCAGAAGAGTTCAAGAAAGCTAAAAATCTAAGAAAAAAGAAGGTCTTCGCACTCAGGAGCACTTCTTGCTGCTGTTTTATCCTGTTAGTATAGACGCAGCCATTTTCAGGACACCTTCTGACTTCTGTTGTGGGAGTCACTAATTCCTTCTGGTTTAAAAAAGTACACAAAAGGAGCCTTTTTTTTTTTTTTTGGTGAGCTGGCATGAGCAGAAACAGAAATAGTCACGATTTGATGGACACAGATGAGGCCTGACTCCTCCATTCAGGGGGAACAAGGCCATTGCCTTCATAATGTTAAACTGGAGCATGTTCAGCGCAGGCAATGAGCAGATGCTTTTGTGTTGGCTGATGAGGCCTACTGATTAAGACATTTTAAACTGAGATCTATTTAACCCTGATCTATTTTGTATAGGACTGGTTCATATGGCAAATCTGAAAAGTTAACCAGCAAAATCAAACCAAACTACTCTACCTGATGGAAATATCTACATGTGGAAACGAAAGTGCTCCTCAAATAAGGATTGAGAGCAACTCTCAGCCACAGTGGCTTTTGAAGTACCTTAAGCCTGAAGAATGCCTTCAGCCAGCCCTCCACTCCCGCCTCTGAAAGCACACGGCTACTATATAGCATCACTTCAAGCTCTGCAAAGCAACCCACAAGTGCACAAAAGATTGGTTATTTCAGAAAACTTTCCAAAGTAATCCAAACATACAAGAATGTACTGTCCTCTCTAAACTTATTCATGTCTGTGCCTCATTTACTAGTTTTTTAAGCTCCTGGTTAGCAATGAATGTACTATAAAAGAGTTGTGTGGCCCCGTCACGCTACTATAGAAAGCGCTGTAAACAGAACAAGCCTTGTTAAAAGGAAATGACCCAAAATAAACCACAGCAGAATGAGCACTGAAAATAGTGAGCAGACTAATCCAGCCGTAGCTACCAAAATGAAATAAATTCTGAGACCAGCTTTCACTTTTTGTACCTACAATGGTTGGGGGAAAACGCCTATAAGCAACTTTTCATTCCTTTTTTAACAAATGTTCCATGTCTCTGTGAACTCCTGATGAGATTAGCTTCAGACTGAAATGGGGCTGATTCCCAATGACCGATCATCGCAAGAACAAAAATTCAAACTTGTGATATCATCTGAGTCAAATGGGACCCTGGATTTTTTTGTTTATTGGAAAGCCAAATATGAAGTGCAACTGAGAGGATAGCACGTATCAGCCAAACAGGAGAACAGGCAACTGTGTACAACATGCAGAAGTATTCAACATGTTGGTTGGGTCAACATCTACAACAAGAGTCCACTTTGGATTCTTGCAAAAAACTGCTATGCTAGCACACCACCTCATAACAGATGAAGAGACAAAATTGAGAGCTTCAGCTTGAGGATGCATCAGTATCAAGCCTCTGAGGCTTGGTTCATCACAGTTCTTAAAACCACAGCAGTTCAGGAGCTGTTCCATAGACATTCAGTCCTCCTGGTGCACTGTGGCACAAACCCTGTCAGCAGGATGAGGCAGGCAGCAGGGAAAATAATTGCTTCATACAACTTCTAACCTGCTCCCACACGTGAGTCAGAGTCCTGAAACTGAGGGTGCAGACAGATTGGTTTGAAACTTGGTCCACAGAAACTCCTGTCACCCGTGAAGTGAAGGTTATCGGCAAGCACATCATAAGCTGTTGTGCACTTCCTGTGCGAGCTGATGCAAAAAGCTCATCTTCAATGAGCTGTCTCTTTATCTGCAGTGGATAGCCATGATGAACAGACATTGGATTAAATTCCCGGCACTCTGTTACACCCCTCATCCTGCAAGGACGGTACCTACCTCCGACCTTTCATTCCTCCGCCTTTGCCCTCTGCAGCTAGCCTAGCCTGATGCGCAGGGCCAAATTTAAGGCAGGTAATGGAAAGTTTGAGCAGAAAACTTACTTTTCTACTGCTAATAATCCAGACTGGGAAGGTGCTGTGGCTTGTGTCGAGGGTGTGCCACAGGCTTCATTCCAATTCGGAAGTGGGAGAGGGAAAGGGTGCACCAAGGGGCCGGGGACTCACAGGACTCCAGTGCCCACCACTCAGCAGCAGCAACAAGAGGCTCCACTTCTGCAGGGGCAATGGTCTTGGGGGCTGCTACCGGCTACCCGACTGGCTTAATATCAAGAAGACATCCCGTAACGAGCCATGTCACACCACTGACCTCTTTAAAAAAATAAATAGATTTCCTTATTAAGAACAATAGGTAGCTTGCCTCAAATCAATGGCACAAGTCAGCCCACAGACCGGAGTGTATTAAAAAAACAGGTATGTACTAAAAATCAACATTTTAAAATGAGCAAAACGAGGCACGTGCAGAATTAACACCCCGTAACTGTGCATATTAAAATACTAAGAACCCATTTCCTGTGTACAAGTTGTACAGCCACAGCTCTGTCTTGAATATTTTATAAATCCACAGCTTTCTTCAGTATTTTACTATTGCTTTAATAGTAACAATAGTAATAATTGATCCAGGCCCAGGCTGGGAATTGCCTATGCATAATAATGAGTTAGTTTTTACTTACTAAAATTACCTTTATCTTTCATAAAAATAAGATGCTTGAACTAAAAATAAAAAAAAAGGCAAGCAAAATAATATTTCTTTTATCTCTTAAGCCAAGAATCGACTAATGCATCCACAAACATTTTGCTCAGGTACTGAATTCTGCTTTTAGGACAGGGGTCAATACATATGCTAAGCATGCTTATCATGAAAGTCCCACTAGTAAATGTAATAGCTCCAATCTATACAGTCAATCCAAAACTGCTGAAGGACACTTCTCTGCAGCACAATGTGGTGTGTGTTTTTTTTTTTTTTTTAAAAAGGTAAGGCTAATTCAGGTTGGAAGGGACCTTGAGAGACACCCAGTCCAACCTGCTCAGAGCAGGGTCAGCCCTGGGGTCAGACCAGCTTTCTCCAGTCAGGTCTTAGAAACCTCCACAGGTGGAGCCTGCACAACCTCTCCAAGCATTCTGCTCCCTTGCTCAGCTCTCCTCACCACGAACATGATTTTCCTTACACTCAGTCTGAACCTGCCCTGTTTCGGCTTACGCCGACTGCCACGTGTCCTCTACCACCCATGGCTGCAAGGAGCTGGTTGTCCAAGCTGCCTTTGGACAACCTCCTTGTCAGTACTGGAGCCTGCTCTTACAGGAAGAGAGTCACCACGCAACGTCGTCGCGTTGTCTCCTGTTCGCGTGCCTGTCTCAGGTTTGAATGCTGAGGACTTGCTAGGTCTTTTTTAAACCGTACCAGCTAAACTGAGCCTCCCTCTGCGCTTTACCTCATACCTTGGGAAGGCAGCAGCCCTGGCTACCTGTCATCTTATCAAAGCAGCAGTGCTATCCATGATTAAACTAATCAAATTACATTTCCCTTGAATAGTTGAAATGGGGAAAGTTCAGCTTGAAGCTGAGCATACAAATCCAAAGGCAACTGAGGCAATTTATTGATACTGTTAGCGGGAATTAATGGCGCCCACCTCCT